TATATATATATGTACATACACGTACAAGCTATAAAAATACTTCTCTATACAATCCTTAAGGAGGAACGAAAAGAAAGAAAAAAAATATATAGGAAAAAGAAAAATCGTAAACAGAAACAGATACAAGGATGAAGATTTTTTTAACGAATAGAAAAAATGATTGTGCTACGAAGCTGAACAGAACCGCAACGTGAAACAAAGGTCCAGACAAAACTCTGTACACCGTTGTGTGTGTGCTTGAATACCTGCTCGTGACAAGGAAAGCTGCCAAACTCTTCGGTACATTAATTTTTCTTAATTACATGTCGCCAGTCATACTACTACCGTAGTGAACTATCAGTAGGTCTTGGGGAGTATTATAAATTTTCACTACCTCTGCGTATGTGATTGAGACACGCCATCATTCTGATCATAAAACCGGCGGGTACGGTCATTGTGTCTCTGGTCTCTTCCAACATAATCGCATTCCTCTTTTTCAGCTGTAAACACACGTCCCATGAGAATAATTTCTTTCGATTGTACTTTGAGATTAGACGAATAATAAATTCGAATTCCCATCTGGGAAAGTCACTTACATCTTCAGCGAATTTCTCGTCGAACCCCGACTCGTCGTTGATCGGCGCCCACAGCTTGACGTCGTAATCTGTGCCGGCGGTGACCAACAAAGGCAAATAGGGGTGCGGTTGCAGGCAATTGACCACGTGGTGGTCCGCCTCGAGCAACATGCACAGTCTCGCGGTCGCCTTCTCCCAGACGAACACGTGGCCGCAATCGCTGCCCGACATCACGAAATCGTTTCCCCAGAAGTTCGCCTCTTTAATCATGGTCCTAAAGAAACTAGAGTCAACCAGGGGAAGGCCAACTGATCAGATTAAATATGACGGCCCCCGGGTGAAGTGGCCCAGTCCGCTCGAAGGCTTTTTCGGAACTTAACGAGTCAATGGATTGGCTTCCGATTAACAATAAATAAAAGATATATAAACTGCACATCCAACGTCGGTGAATCTCAGCAAAAGTAAATTACTTTTAGTGATTACGTGACAATTAAAAGAGGTACTCTCGGTAAGCCAAACTCGCCGAACAGATTTGGTTCATCAGCAGAGCAAAGAAAATCCGACTAACTTCCTACTCAACGTATTCGCATACGTCACCCAACACTGTTGTTAATCTTTTAGTCAC